GTAAGTAGACGAGCTTCTCAGCATTAGAGAGTGCTGTGCGACTGTGAATTGATATATCAAATTGTTCCCAGAATGGTTTCCAGTTGAGTATGTCTCCATTGAATGTAGGAACATCAAGTTTGGGTAATTTCGCTCCAGTACTTCCTACAACAGGTGTAGAAGTAGTAGTTGTGACTTCAGCCGAGTTGAAGTATTTACGAATAAGATGAGAACACTTAAATAAAGTGTCTTCTAGAATCAAGTGGAGCTGAAATAACGCATCATCCTCTGAGAAACTATTGATCAACATCTCTTCATAAAGCTGGGCTAGCTCAGTCTTGTATTCAGACATTTGTTCTCGATATTGCTCAAAAAGCGAGGTATCATCATGACTATCAGGTAGACTAGAGATTGTAGTATGAGCAGCAGTTAAATTCTTCTCTAAACGTGATAGTCTTCGGGAGATTATCACCTTCTCAGGTGCATCAACAGGCGTTCGAGTACTGCTAGCCGTACATACTTCACTTACACGCAACTGAAAATCAGAGATTCGATCATCATGCTCATCTAGTATGTCCTGCTCACGCTCGAGGTCATCCTCTGCTTCAGTCACATCAACGATCTGTAAATGTAGATCTTTGAACTCAGCATCGAGCTTATGAAGTTTAGCAGCTATCTGTTCAGCTTGACCAGTGGTAGTGGGAAGATGACTCGAATCTTCCAGTTCCTTGAGTTTAGTACCAAGGCGAGTAATTGAGCTACGTATCACTCCTCTCTTCTTACGTAACGAATGAGATAGAGTTGCTATTTCGTCCTGACTGGCTATGAGTATCGATAGATGATCAAAAATAAGTCAGCAGCCAAAAGCAAGAAGTATCAGTAGTATCCGGCTCGGTGGACCAAAAAATGTTAGGGCTGCTAACAAGATGTTAATAGATATAGCTGGCAGGACAAAGAGAGCCGCTAAGAACTTTTAACATGAGACAAAATCTTATTCTAAAAAAAATGTGTAGTAAATTTTTTACAAAAAAAATGATCAATAAGGACAATTATGGTATTTCACAATATTAGTCTAAACCCCAACAGATTAATAATGATATGATATTTGATATGACGGAGGAAGAAAAGAGATTGAAGGAAACTCATCGAGAGAAACATGAACAACAACAGATCAACCCACAAGAACACGATATTGTGTC